TTGGGGAGGACAGGTCAATTTCCAGTGCATTTCTGTTTATATGGCAAGGTTTTCTTACCATTGGGAAGGATTTTCCCTTGGGAGGTGCTGCAGTGAGGGATGTTGTGAAGAGGTGTCTTATATAGTGGTGTACTCGGAGGAGGGCTATTTTGAGCAGATATGTTGGGCGGAGGTTTGTTTTGAGCGGGATCAGTGAAGCTTTAGAAGGAAAAGAAATGAGGTTTCGGGAAGTGCCTTGTTGCTTTTGTTCGTTTTTGGCTGGAGTAGCAGTAGACGAGGACCGAAGTGGAGGCATCTCTTCCATTTCCATCTCTTAAATTTGTTGCTGCTCTGATTGTTGCTACTCCTGCACCTACTAACACTCCTGTTTGGGGGCTTCTGCTTGTTTATTCTTGGCTGTTGTTGCTAGTCTTTTTTCCGAGGTCAGTTTCTCGACCGCCTTTGTTTCCTCTTGCTGGTGGCAGTGGTTGTCGCCTTTGCCCACCTCCTTACTACTACTGTCCATTTTCCTGAGCTAGCATCGTGCTTTAGGCTCATGGCGACGTCCACCTTAGCCTTGGGTGTAGCAGGTTTTGGTTGAGTTTTGGGCTTCTTTCCCAGGCATGTTTTTGACAGATAGCCAGTTGCCCTACAGGCCCAGCAGAGAGGTCGTCCTCCTTTTACTACAACGTAGATAGGACGGACATCGCAGATCAACACGTTTGGAATGTCTGTGTAACTTTTCTTATCCACTGTAACTAAAATTTCGATGTCACCAGTGGCAATGCCGGTCTTACCCTTTACCGCCAATACCTCTGCTACTTCTCCAAACTGGGAGAAAAAATATCCTAAATGGCCCTCCGAAATAAACAGCGTTACTCCATGAAGAGTAACTTTGGCCTTCTTACGTCTCATGTATTCGCTTTGAAGTCTTACTGACTTTGTAATCAGAATTTTCTCAGCCAGTGACTTCACCGCTTCTTCTGTTGGGAGCAAGATGTCCCACATTGCATTACTACGACGCGCTAAAACTTTTGCTGTAATATTTTGGTTTTTCATTGCTTATTCCATGAATTTCCTGTTGGCACCTATCAACTTACGAGTCTTAACACCGGTTGTCAGCAGGGATATTGTTTTCAAAAGAGACGGAACCGGTAAGAGTTCATTTCCTGATAAGAACTTTTTATAATGTTCTTTGAGGGCCGTATAATAATTGGGACGTTTTTCTTTGGGAGTAGGGGGAAGGTCTATCTCCCACCCAAACTGACGGACCTTTAACAGTGATTGCCGAGTTAACAAGTTGGGACTGCGCTATAACGTTTGCGTTCCCACGACATCAGTCACAAACCCAAATAAAACGTGTAGCTTAGATATGGAACAAGGCCGAAAGTACCCAGTGAGAATCGGACTCCCTACACTCTCGTAATTGTTCTAGCGAGACAAGCAAGTTTCTTAACCCCGTCGAGGGCCCCCTTCTCTCTCAGTTAATTAATAGTTCTTGTATCAGTAAATCATTAATATCTATCCGAAATTCTTAAAATCTAAAAATATTTTTTGGCTTTAAATAACTTGTACGTGGTTGATAATCCGTAAAAAACAAATCAATTAACCAATCCTTAGAATTAAGAAGGCCATGAGAAGAAATCCTAATGTTTAAAATCTAATCGACCTTCCTTAACGCTGATCTTTCTAATACACTTTCGTGTTACCTTTCCTGATCCTAAACAGTAGCTGATACAGTTAAGAAATGGTACATTTTTGAAACAGTTTATCGATTTCATATCAAAATTACTGTTTAGATTTGATTTCTTCATAGAATTGATAATTTTTAATCAACTAAAAAGAGATATACTTTGTTATGACTAATATTTGTATGGGATATATTTAAGTAATGCTAACATCCTTTATTTTTAAAAATATTTTAACACTTCTATATTTGTTTTAATCAATTAATTACACGGCGATAATATCACTAAGACCCACTGAGCAGCAGTGAGTAAAACAGAATGAAAAGACTTTAGAAGGAATCGGAAACTCATTCCTAAATAGGAAACAAGGGATAAACCTCTATTCCTGTTTAAAAGACCAGTGATATCAGCAGTTGAAAAAAATTAACGAATAGAACAGCTTTAGACTCGAATAAAAATGTTTCAAGTTATGTTTTATTAAATTGTTGTTTAGAATTTTAGACTTTATCTATAAGAAAATGAGATAAGTCTATCATGGCTATAAAAAAAAAAAAGAAAAAAAAAGCAGCCGCAGATCTTTTTGTTAGTTTAGTTGATTTATCGATATTTCAGCCCTTGCTGACATCGACATCGATTTAAGGACATTTCTGCCCTTGCTAGGTCATTCAATGTTGACATCAGCCCGTCTTTTTTTTTCTTTATTTTCTTTTTCATTTCTTTTCATCTAAAATCAAATATATAATTCGTACAGCACAAAATAATGTCTATTCTCCATTAAATACCATCAAGAGGCACGCATGCACACACACACACACTTATATATATATATATATATATATATATATATATATATATATATATATATATATTGTCATCCACAGATAAATTGTTTTGCTGTTTCACAGCTCATCAGTGTGTCTAGACATCCGAATGCTTCAAGCCTGGATCGAAATATATATATATATATATATATATATATATATATATATATATATATATATATATGTGTGTGTGTGTGTGTGTGTGTGTGTGTGCTTAAGTTTTAAAAATGTACTTTCAATAAAAAATACTTTGCAGTATTTCAAACTGAATTCAAATTGATTGGAATTATCTTCTTAAATTGTTAAAATCGGCCAATTGTGACAAATATAGTCATATAGCACATTTCTCGTTATTAAAATGTCCCTTCAAAAATAAAATAAATATATATAAAGATTATTTGAGCAAGATGAACTGATTCAGAGTTTAATTAATCAGAATTAAAACAAATATTACTTATTTGTATTTAAAAATATCGCAGAAGTGCATATTTTTTAACACGAAGGTGGGTGTTTTTATCAGGTGTTGGCATATCCATTGATAACCTGATATTTGCGACATTTTTCCAAGAGGGGATACTTATAGTAAAAGTACATCGCTAATACAACGTAAACGCCTTTTTAGGTAAATTTATTTACTTATTTTAGCTTTATAATCTTACTTACGAAGATGCTTGTTGAGGAAATGTTACAAAATAACAAAAACTTTTAAATTTCTTATAGTTATCGCTCTTATTTTCTTATAATGTCGTGTATCGACCCTCTATTAACAAAATAGGGCATATTTATACACACACAAAATTAAAGATTCTTTTATAAAGTAGTTTTTATTAACAACAATATCACTTAATCGCTACAAATTAATACATAATTTTAAAAGATTTAAATTCTTATAAATTAATCAGAGACGAACAAATACAATGCGAATCGAAATATATATATATTTTAAATGTGTTATTGATAATGTTGTGGATTCCGGGATGAAATCCGGTCTCAAATGAATGACAAATGCAGGAATGAAATATAGCAAATAAATGTATTGACGTAATAATACAATTGGTAATACGGTTAGTAGATCCTGAAATACGGTTAGTAGCAATGATAATATATATACAGTCTGGGAAATTCAGTATCGAAGTATGACTTCTTTCTGAGTCTACGTGCTCGCAACTGTGACTCCTACAAAGCGGTTACCTCACCCCCTCACTCCTTCACTGTATCACTGTATCACTGTCACTTCCGGGTATTCACCGGCAGCAGTACAAGTACACACTGGTCGAGTCCACTTGTATGAAAAAGGGGTGGACCCCTTAGCAGATAACGGATAGAAATATTTAGAGCTTGCAGTCACAACGCTAAGGTCGAATTTTTTTCTGAAAATTTAAGTGAGTGCGTTTTTTAGTAATATGGCAATTTGGGAATTTTTTGTTGTAGGAGTTTATTTTTTCGTCTCGGATGCTACCTGAATTTGACCAAAAACAAAATAATTTCCATGCCTGAAGATGACTGAATGTACAGTCGAATGTACTTCCGTATTAAAGAAAGACCTTATACAGCTTATAATTCTAAAAATCAAGGATCATAACATTCACCGAGAGATTGGTAGGTTAATGCATCTTTAAAGTTTTGTTAACGAAGGGATTTCACCATTTTATATCATTAACTTTACCAATTTACTTTTTGTATGAATGATTCATTGTAATATCAATTGGACTGCGCCACGTATTTGATATATATATATATATATATATATATATATATATATGTGTGTGTGTGTGTGTGTGTGTGTGTTAATAATAATCTCAAAAACCAGTTGACTGATCTTCCTTAAATCTTTCAGTAAATTTTATCTAAAAATATGTGAAATAAATCAGAAGAAAATTACCTTCCCTGAGTTGTTTCCCTGTCTTCAGAATAGGAAGTTTTTTCTTTTCTTCTTTTTAATACAGATACTCTTCTAGGCTTTGTCATGATAGGGATTCATTCTTGTGTTGGTACCACAACAAGCTGCTTCCTGTTATTTAGAGAGAATAAAGTAAGTGCAATATAACTATCTTTGGTCTCTGAGAAATCAGGAACAGTATTATTATTATAATCAATTCTCACTGAAAACCATCCATCCCAGTTGCCGACTAAATGTAAAGTCCGTCATTACATGAAATGACTTTGTACTCGAGAGAGTACTTTCAACTTACTTTACATCTCTTTTCACCGTTATATTATGAATCAATTACTATAAACAACGTTACATATAAAAAATAATACCCCGAAATTTTATTTTCAGTTCATTTGAAGTAAAAACAGTTTATATTGATAAAAATAACTAAATTATATTCATAAAAATAACCGAATTATATTGATAACAGTAACCGAATTATATTGATAACAGTAACCATTTGTTAATAGCCGTGCTTATAAAAACATGATCCCTCTGCATTTATCATTTTGTTGAGGACTTCATCAACGAGGACTAACGCCTATTGGAAATGTTCAGTAAACTTTCTCCAAGTCTTAGGATGCATTTCACTTCCTGTCCTTTCCTCTCTCTCTCTCTCTCTCTCTCTCTCTCTCCTCCCTCCCTCTCTCTCTCTCTATTTATCTATCTCTCTTTCCCTCTCTCGTTGTCTGTGTGCGTGCGTGTCTGTGTCTGCATAAAAGACGATACATCTAGAGAGGATGGAAGACAAAAAAAAAAAAAAACAAACAAAAAAAACAGGAAAAATAGACAGTGGATTGCAGATAAATATATAAATAAATAAAGAAAGAAATCCAGAAAGATAGAAAGTTTGAAGAAGAAGAAGAAGAAGAAGAAGAAGTAGAACAACAACAACAACAACAACAACAGTAGAAGCGAGACTTTGAATTGGAGGAAAAGGAAAAAAGAAAATCCACGCATAATCAAAAAAGAAAAAGAAGGGAGACAACTGGAGGTGAGGAAATGATACAAAATATTAAATATAATCGTGAATTTAAAAACGTTGAAAGCAATAATTTATCAAGGTAGACACTTGAATATAATCTTATCATATCTCTATCTTTCATTTTAAAGAGGAAAAACACACTCAATAAAGATTGGCAGGCAATTTTTTTAGCTATGAAAACCTTTGAATATTTATACATTTAAGAATGCTGCCTAAACACGATTCGGAGACTAAAAGGGAAATTTTAATTATTTTTCTTGTTGGAGAAGGGAAGAAGAGACAGAAAAGAGTTGAAGCATGTACTCGAAGAAATAGGGATAAAATGAGGAAGAAAGAAAAGTGATAAAATGAGGGACAGTAAAATATGGTAGAAAGAGAAGAAGAATAGGAGACACGTGTTTGAAAATAAAGAAATATATTAATCATAAGAAGAGCAACAACAGCTAGGAGGCTTTGCATTGGAGGAAAATAAATAAATAAAAAATAAAGAAGAAGAAGAAGAAGAAGAAGAAGAAGAAGAAGAAGAAGAAGAAGAAAACATAATACTTTGATTTGTAGAAAAAAAAGAAAAGTAATAATGCTTGTATAGGAAATAAAAAAGAGAAACTGTAAAAGAAAAAGGAAGATCGGCTGAGGAATGAAAAAACGAAAAGAAACAAAAAGGAAAGAGAAATTGAAAGAAAATAAATAAAATCACTTTTGTAAAACAAGAGTAATACTTTGGTGGGAAAGAAAGAAAGAAAGAAAGAATTATATAACAAAATTGAAACAGAAAACGAAGAAAATAATATACACATTGAAAAGAAAAAAGAGAAAGAAAGAAGATATGAAAATAAAAGGAAGATAAACTATTGTGGTGTGAAGTGGTTGAAAGAAAGAATGCAGAAGGGAAAGAAAGACCATTATGCGAAAGGAAGCGAGAAAGGAAAGAATAGATGAAAAAAGAATTAAAAAACCGAGAAGAACAACTGCGAGGTGCACTAATTAAAATGTAGCCAAAAGATGAAAAGAATGCGAAAAAAATGTAATGAAACAACAAAGTATTGGCCATTGTTAAAAGAAAATGCAGGCGTCAAGGAGACGGTTAAAGAAATTTGGCAGAGCCGAAAAAGCGTAATTAAAAGAAAGAAAATATAGCGGAAGAAATAATGTTTGTACGAAAAGAGACCAAGGAGTATATAAAACGTAAAAATAAATCATACCAAGTGGCAGAGAAAGTTGCGACGAGACGACGGTGTTTAAAACTCGAATAATTCGGGGAATGGGATTATTAATTTTTTTTTCTTTTTGGTCATTGCCAAAAGCTTTTATCATTCGACTGACAAAAAAAGAAAAAAAAAGTGTTCTTGTTTTCCATCCTGAAGATGGTCTGTTTGTTTAGCGGCATATCAACTCTTATGGGTTATTTAAACTGGAAATTTAATTTTCTTGAAAACATTATTAATTTCTTTTACAAAAATATATTGCTGGTAATTTTTTTTAACTATGAAAATCTATTGCTGGTATTTTTAATATAAAAATATAATTTTACTATAAAATGTATTTTTACTATAAAAATGTATTTTTACTATAAAAATGTATTTTTTACTATAAAAATGTATTTTTACTATAAAAATGTATTTTAGTATATAAAGATATTTTATTATAAAAATGTATTTTTTACTATAAAAATGTATTTGTACTATAAAAATGTATTTTTGTATATAAATGTATTTTACTATAAAAATGTATTTTTACTATAAAAATGTATTTTTACTATAAAAATGTATTTTTATTATACAAATGTATTTTAGTATATAAATGTATTTTACTATAAAATGTATTTTTACAATAAAAATGTATTTTTACTATAAAAATGTATTTTACTATAAAAATGTATTTTACTATAAAATGTATTTTTATTATAAAAATGTATTTTAGTAAAAAATGTATTTTTACTATAAAATGTTTTTTTACTATAAAATGTATTTTTACTATAGAAATGTATTTTTACTATAAAAATGTATTTTTATACTTTCATAGTGTTTTGCCTCCCCTCCCCCCCCCGTTTAGGGATTAATTATTTGCTCATAACTGGGACCCTGATAGGGTGGA